TACCATGTCAGGCTCCAGCACGTCTGGAGGCCGTCTTTGGGTTGCGAGGAAGCGCGTAGGTTTGAGGAAGCGTTTTGAGAGAGGTTTGAGAGACGTCCGTCGGAGCGGAGCGAAAGCTTTGGTGGTGTCTTGAGGTCAATTGAACCAGCTGCGGTCGGCAAGCATTCACAGTGACCAGACCAGGTGCACCGTTAGAATAGCTGTAGAGTCGCTCAATCCCGAGGATAGGGAAAGTCACAAGAGAGCAGAGCACACAGGAGAGCAAGGGGAAGACAGAATGGCAGAGGGCTTGACGTACCTGCGGTCGGCAAGCATTCACAGTGACCAGACCAGGTGCACCGTTAGAATAGCTGTAGAGTCGCTCAATCCCGAGGATAGGGAAAGTGCAACTCGTGCCCGACCGCAGGTGTCACAACAAAGGGAAACAACAGTAGCCACAAGCTTATTGCCCCAGGGCAGCTGCCCAGGCATCGTGGGGACCGCGTCACACGCGGTGTTTACTCATGTGACTGCCACGAGGAGGATCAAGCCCAGGGGGTCCAAAAGTAGGTGTCAATGTGTGAGGTCGTCGTAGCTATGGAATACCAATAGGAAGACCCATAGCGACCGATGCTGAGTGTGTGCGAAAGCAGTGGGAGTGTTCAAATGCGTGGAAGCACGGATTTGACGCTAACAACTTGTGCCTCAACTGTACACTTGTGTCTCAACTGTACACTTGTGTTGGGTATGAGTTCTATGATCGGGAGGACACGAAGCGAGACAGGCACGGCTCCTCATCGTGAGTGAAACCGTTACACTGGCACCACAGTCTACGACACACGCCGGCACGGGGACGTGTCCCCCGTGTGAATGCAGGGACTCAGCTGCCAAAAAGAAGCTGTCGTTCGAAATTATAGAAAAACCACAAAAAAACCACAAAAAAAACAAATCCTCATGGATGAAAAGAAAAAGATAATCATGGAGCATCCGGGTGGGTCTTCGAGTTACAGATCGATCCCAGTACCTCTCCCATGCTAAGGGAGCGCGCTACCATTTGCGCCAATGCCCCGATGTACTGTTCGCAGAAGAAGTAATAACTGTATGTAAATGACGTAAAAAATGAATGACATTTGCATGTTGTGCATGTCTTGAGCAAAAAGACCTTGTCAAAAAAGAAAAAGATAATCATGGAGCATCCGGGTGGGTCTTCGAGTTACAGATCGATCCCAGTACCTCTCCCATGCTAAGGGAGCGCGCTACCATTTGCGCCAATGCCCCGATGTACTGTCAACGGATAGTAATATAAATATACTTAAATGATTATGTTTAGCATTACAACCTGATCTGAAATCCAAGGGTATTCGTTTATTTTCGAGGATTTGTCTTCCACGTCACGTTGGACTGTTGTTGTGGCAGCGGCACCATGGCAAGCTTGCTGAAGGACGTTACGCTGGTCGGGCCTGCGGGTGAGCAGGTACCGGCATCGACACTCGAGGGCAAGGTCCTGGCCTTTTACTTCAGGTAAGGTGGTGGTGGTGGTGGCGGTGGTCATTGAGTGTGCACTGGACATGGTGCTTGTCTCAACTCGCTTTTGCGGTCGTCTGGGGATGCGTGCTAGTGCATCTTGGTGTGGGCCGTGCCAGAGCTTCACGCCAAAGCTGGCCGAGTATTATGAGGTAGGTTCTTCCCGCATCCCTGGAGAGGGAGCGATAGTGGTGGTGGATGCATACATCGATCACCGCGGTGGCTTGAGAATCACAAACAGTAGCTGATGCGGTGTGGGGTCTGACCAACCTTCTCGCTTGCACCTTCTCCAAGTCTTTCAAGGCCAACCATGCAGAAAAAGACCGGTTTGAAGTGATCTTCATGTCATCGGATCGTGATGAAGACTCTTTCAACACGTACCGCAAGAAGATGCCTTGGCCCGCTTTGCCCTTGAACCACCCCCTGAAGAAAGAGCTGGCTATGCGCTATGGCGTACGTGGCATTCCTTGCTTGGTGTTTGTGGATGCCGACGGCGCCACGCTCAACACTCAAGGCCGCGCAGCTATTGTGCAGGATCCCGAAGGTCTGTCGTGGGCGTTCTTGCCTTGTTGCACGAGGGCCCTGGGTTGAGCACGTCAGATACTTTGATGTCATACCTCGCCGTGGCGTGAGCCATGGGAGGAGGGCTCGACTTGGCTTGGCCAGTTTCTCATTGAAATGACCGCTCTCACGCACGTCGCCCTTCTTCGCAGCTGAGGAATGGCCTTACTCTCCCAAAAGCTTTGAAGAGGTGCTGGGCGACAGTTTTGTCAAAGCCGATGGCACTTTGATCGATCAAAGCCATTTTAACGACAAGTACATTGGTCTCTACTTCAGCGCTCACTGGTGAGCGTCGCAAGGCCAGACTTGGTCGAAGTGGATGTTGCCTCACTTGCTGACGGCATTATGGACTGGTCGATCATTTTATATTGTCCCCACTTCCTTACTATGCGGACCGCTGCCACACTTGCATGCTTCTTCTTCAAACGTATCAGGTGCCCCCCTTGTCGTGACTTTACGCCACACCTGGCCAAGGTGTATGAAAACTTGCAAGCACAAGGAAAGCCTTTTGAAGTCATTTATGTGCCCGCTGACCGCACAGAGGACCAATTCAACGAGTACATTCAGGTATATTGTTGGTGGTGGGCGGCTTTTGAACCGCGTGCCCCCCCCCCCCCGTGTGACAACACCGCAGGTTATTGCCAGGCTCTTACGCCAAGGTATGCTCTGTGTGTGTGTGTGTGTGTGTGTGTGTGTGTGTGTGTGTGTGTGTGTGTGTGTGTGTGTAGGAAATGCCTTGGTTTGCCGTTCCATTTGAGGACCAGTCGCGCCGACATGCTTTGCTCGAGCGCATGGGTGTTCAAGGGTTTCCCACGCTGGTGATCCTGAGCCCCGAACGTTTGGTGGTCAACGGCCAAGGCCGAACAGCTGTGGCAGCGGATGATGAGAACGGCTCTGAGTTTCCTTGGGCCCCCAAACCCTTCTTGGTTCTGTCCGAGAGCACCGTGGCCGACCTCAATGCCGACCCTTTCTTGCTCGTGTTGCTCGAGGACGAGGCAGCCGTAACTGCCGCCACACCCCTGCTTCAGGCGGTGGCGAAAGATGAGGAGGCAGCAGCCAAGGCGGACGGTCACGATGCCCTGCGCATCATGGCAGCTGATGTGGATGGCGAGGTCACAGGGTTTATCCGTGACTTCCTGAACCTCGAGGACGAGGCACCACAGCTTGTTGTTCTCAACGTCCCCAAGCAGGGCAAGTTCCGTGTGCCTTCCACTGACCTGTCCCGCGAGAACCTCGATCAACTGCTGGCCGATTACCGTGCCGATCGCATTCAGTATGGTAGCTTGAAGGCTTGAGTGTCGTTCCAGGCACTGTATAGCAAATGGCAATTTCTACTTTTTGACGTTTTTCAGGTCTTGAACACCTGCATTTGATCCTTTCCATCACGATTCAAGCCCAAAACACGACATGTCGATCACCTCTGTTTCGCGGCCGCGTTTCTTGTATCATACCAACCCCAAAGATTAGCAGAGCATCTACAGGTCCGTCGTCATCGTCGTCGCCACACATGCCCATCATTGTTGGTCATGACATGTGAACAAGAAGTAGAAACACAAAAACTTGAAAGCAAGGCATTCCAATGTTCCGATGTGCAGCAAATAGATTATCAGCAAACAGTGCGTGCACGCATGCTACATGATTGATCATTCACTTGCTGGCTGCAGTTGAGCTGTCGAGAGGGGAGATGACCATTTCATTGCGCGTGCTCAAACTGCTTCTCGCTGGTCGGGCGGGGGAGGGCAGTGTGTAGGATGTCAAGCTCTACCGCAGCCTGAGGCGCTGAGATCAAGCTTCTTAGCTTCTGTTGTGGGACGTTTTCTGGTGCCCATGACAATGCGTCGCGTCTTGTCGCCGCGCAGGCGTCAACTCAGCATCAGCTCCGTGCAAGCAAGGCTGGCTGATGAGCATCGCAGCATTGGTTCCGTCTTGGAAATTCAATCACGTTCCTCGGCGGCTGCGCTTGGTTGCGGCATCGTTGGTCTGTGCGCACACTCTTTCCACGTTTGGCCTCCTGGCGGCACTATCTGGCTCACGATCCCCTTGCTCTCTGTTCTAGGCGTGGCGGAATTGCCTCGGGAAATCTATGAGGCTTATCAACAAGCACGAGGCTGTCTTCCTGCCGCTGGCGTATTTATAGACTATCTCACCGTTGACAGCCCATTGAACGAAGCAGGCGCTGAGCCTTTTGACCAGGCAAGTGTATCGGTTCCAGAACAGCCTGGTGCTGATCTGACAGGGTGTCTGTCGCAGGCTCACCTTGGCTCACAACATCGGGTATAGATTCTCGCCATTAATCAGCATGACGTCGCTTATGCTTCTTGTGATGTTGCGCTGAATCACTTGTTTAAAGCAGGTAAGCTGGGGGCGGCGCACGTCACGATGGTCTGGTCAAGTCGTGCGATGGATCGCTCAATTTTCGACTGCTATGCATGCCAATATGTGCAGGTCACAATATATCACTGCTTTTGCTGCGCATCAAGAGCCAACGAAAGCCTCATTCTACAGCAGCAGGTTGTACCGGGCATGGTCATTCAGGATGTGCCACTGTTGTTCATATTGTCCCCTCGCCAATGGTGTTGCTCAACGTATATGGATTCTCAGATCGGTCACCACGTCGCAAGTCGTCCCAGCTCTTCCAGCGAGCCCAAGTCACAGCAGAGCCAATCCTTGACTTATCCGCAACCAACGTGCCAACCAAAGTCCACCTTTCTGCTGAGCACCTCAATGATCTCCAACTCGGTTCAGCAGCCCCCGATGCAGGAGTTCGGGTTTTGGCAAGTGGGCTTCTTTCAATCTGGACTTCGCATCGCACATTGTTTTCGAAGGATCCCGACTCAATCTTCGGCCATTGCGTGTTAAAAAAGACTTCCTCGTTTCTCGAGTTTCTTATCATCGTCTCCCGCTGTCTTGACACTATTTTTCTATAAAAAAACTATCAAATTTTGTGACCTCACATCTTAGATCACTTCGGCCCAGTCATGCTTACTCCCCCTTGATCATATTGTCTCCATCAACGGTATTGCACTGCCGGTATGTCTGACGGCGCCAGGACCACAGTAGAGCTTGCTTTGTTCGAGATTGCATCTGGCTGTTGTGCTTGAATATACACTGCATCTACTTTGCTATGTTCAGGTACTTTCAAATGTGCCAAGCTTCGAGCTGCGGCAAGTGCTGGAGGCCCGTCTTCCTGGTTTATGCGACATCGTTCGGTTCGTCTCGAAACCAGATATATGATCAAACCTCGCAAATGCTGTGGAGGGTGAGATTTGATTCTGGCAAATGAAGCGAAAACAGTTGACATATATATCTGCTGCTGCTTCGCAATTCTTGTAGACCGCAATCCGCAAGCGACCCACAGTCCATTCGGGAACGCCTTGAAAGCAGCTGCTTGAGTCTCGGCATCATTACCACTGACTCAATGGTGTGCAAAGTCTGCCTTATGACATCTGTCCCAAGTCAAAGCATGACAGCTCGGACGCTTGATTCCTTTGTTTGCATTGTTTCAATAACGCAAGTGCGGCGAGCGGGCCGAGCGCGTCAAGTTTGTTTGTCTCACGAGAGCTCGCCTGCACCCGTTTTGCAGCTGGACGAGGTGGCAGAATTGGTTGACGCATCGCATGGAAGTCAAGAAGAGACCACGGTTCAGTTGGATAACGACGACGAGCACCTCGAGAGGTCGCAAGCACCATTTCTGGCTGACAAGGACTTGGGGTCAAATGCACAAGGGGTCTCACTCGCGAGATTGAAAGGTGCAGAGCAATTTCCTTCGCTTCATAAGCAGGTATTAGACTCGTTCGTCCTGTCGTCTTGGTTTTGAGTCGACACAGTTTGATGTTCTATATCCTACGATCTCATCATATTTTTTCCATTTGTCAACTGTGACGGCTCGACGTGTAGGTTAGTTTTGGGTTTTTGGAAATCGACAAACGCATGCTATGCTCTGTCAAAGTTGCTCCCCTAAGATTCCGCCTCTCTTAGTATTCGATTCGGGTCGAGGACACCACTTCACCCCTTGGTGTGGTCATTCGAGATGCGTCATCATCAGAGCTGTTTCTTGGCCAGCGTGGGGCTGTGGTCGATCGATTGGCAGCTCATGGCCAGCTTGCAACCCATTCCAAGCTCAGGTATGGCTTTCGAGTTTATCCACAAAATGAAAGATTGCGCGCGTTCAGACGCATGGGGTGCTGCAAGTGCATGCAAGTCACTTCTCGCACTTGATTCTTCTTTGCTTGCAGACCAGGCCATCAGCTTATTGCCATCAATGGTGTTTCCTTGATTAACAAGCCGCATGAAGATGTTTTGGCACAGCTGCGGCATTTGCCTAGCAAAGTCCATCTTGTATTTGCCTGCGCTGAATCCGATCTTCGCCCGGAAATTCCTACCTCGTGCAAGTCTCAAGGTGATCTAGAGGCGCTCCCGTCCCGCTCACCCGAAGCATCTGGAAAGAGCAGCTCGATGGAGTCTTCAACATTGTCACGTGAAGATTTAGAAGTGCGCGCGCCGCCCGCTGAGCTCCCTGTACAATCAGCTATTCCGCCCTCAAGTCTGGAGCAAGCAGTCGCTCTGAACGCCACGAGCCACTTTCTATCATCAACGCATGCTATTATGGCGGTGTGGGTCGATGTCACTGCCTTTGGCCGAGCAATTGGCTTGAATGCTGTCCGTTGGCTTGAATTTGGTCATCATGGCACTGTAGTGGCTCACGTTGACCAGGATATGTTACCAGATCTGCGGTCAGGCGATGTGGTCCTTCTGGTCCAACACCATTGGTGCGGTTCATCAGTTTGCTCTTGAAGTTTTTATCGTTAAAAAACGGACCCATTGCTCACCATTTCCCTTTGTGATGTCTCCTCAGGGTACTGGATCTCTGTCCTCATGAAGTCATTTCGCTTGTACAATCACTGCATTCTACCGATGTAATCCTAACAGTGGCTCGCCCACTCAAGCAGGCATCAGGGCTTCACAGATGGCTTGAAGTAGTTGGTTTGCCTTTGGGCTTTGATGTTGCTCCGAACAATGATCCGCTCTTTGTGGAGCTGGCGGTTTGTGAGTTGCAAGGACATTGCCAAGCGGCAGTCTCCGCTTCTTCTCAAGCTCAACTGCAAAGAGGTGACCTGGTCCTCGCTATCCGCGACGATGTGCTGGCTCTGAGCATCAGTGGTCTCGACAATCTTGCAGCGGTGCTGACCTCGTGTGCTCCATTCCGATGCATTGTTGCCCGCGGTGGCCCTGAGCACGATCTGCCCTACCTGGGTTGGTCACATTATCATACAATAATACTGACCACCGTTGGTGCTTGTAAGTCTATTCTTGTTTTGACTTGCTTGCCACATCCCTCGGTGACCCAATCGTTTGCCAGCAATTTCGGCAACCGCCAGAGCCGATTAAGCTGAGTCCGAGCATGCCAGTCTCATCGCTGATCTTGTCTCCAATTTCTCGCTGGCTCAGTTCGTCAAGAAAGTTTGCCTTCCCCTCTCGCCATTCTTGCCCTAGGAGGTGAATCTCTTCTTATGTTAGATGATACCACTATTTCGGACAAGTTGGCACGAGCTGCTGAGGCCATTCTAGTTTGCGCAGCATATTCTTCTGATGACTTGAGAAGAGCCGCATCTCCAAGTTTACCTTTTTCTAGCGATTCCCACCGACTTACTTCCGGTGTGGCCTGCCATGAGCTTGAAGCGGAGGAAGAGGTGACGGTTCAATGCACAGCTCGACATCCTTTTCTTGGATTGCAAATTGTCGCTACTCGCGCTGGAATGCTTAAAGTCAGTCACTTCACGTGTCGTTCAAGCCGACTTTATTCGGGTTCTCATGGAGTCCATCCCCTGATTGCCGCAAGGTTCAAAACCTGCTTCCAGCCGGTGCTGCCCATGCAAGCCGGCGCATTCGAGTTGGCGACATTATCACAGCTGTAAGTATGGCCTTGGAAATAAGGCGGTTTGTCGGTGTTTTGTTTTGTCTTCACATGGTGCTTCACTGCTCTGAAGATGGATCAGACTGACCTGAGTCAAATCAATTACGCTTCGGCTTTGGCCAAATTCAAAGCAGCGGAGCATGCTGCCAAGATACACGTGGGTTTCATTTTGCTGGCAACACCCTAGAGGTTGATTATTCTTTTTGGCTCACAACATCTCTTGATCATGCAAAATTCGCTCTCATGTCTTCGCAGCGCCAACCCATTCGGATCCGCGTTTCGCATCCCACCACCTTTTCGCTTCCGGATGCGTCACCTTTGACCATCACCTTACGACGCAATCACAACCAGGCTTTTGGCATCGGTATCATGACCCGACTTGTGGACGTGGGTGGCACGGGCGATGTACGCCTTTTGACCTTTGTCAACAATGTCGAACCGACATCGGTGGCAGCTGTGGCCGGCCTGCAAGAGGGGCATGAAATCTTGAAGATTCACACGCACGGGGTGCGCAACAAACGTCATTCCGAGGTAGCTTAGGTCTCCCAACTGTCAAATCTGGTTCTTATTGAAGACGCGGATGTATTATTTTCCAGTACATCATAACACGATTTGTGACCTCTACGTCAAGCACACTCATCACTCGCCGCACTTTGGCTATGAACGACAGGTTCAACGCATGCTGGCCTCGGCGCAAGATTCAGTTCGATTAATTGTTTTACAATGGCCACACAATTAAATGCCTTTTGTTTCTTACATGCATGCTAAGATCGCGGTCACAGGATGTGATAACCCGTGACCAAGTTTGGTTTTCGTGGAAAGGTGACAACACCAGGCGAGCTGTTTAACACGTTAACCGCAATTATCATCGAAAAAGGCTGCTTCCTGGGAATGATACGAAGCGTAGGCTGCATCCCAAACTTCACCGACTGACTGAAGCACGTCACGTCCTAGGATTGCCGAAAGGTACATCATGAATGCAGAAGCAAAACTTGGTCGAGAAGAAGGAAGCACCAAACGATACGCACTCTCTTCAAAGCATGCCGCGTCGATGTGAAATTGCTCCAGGTCAAGCAAGTACGCAGCTTTTGCCTTCTCGTACTGATATTCTGCCACACTCAAGCACACAGGGCAGCACTCTGTGTCATAAAGAAACTCCGTCTGTTGACTTGGGCAGGAGCTGCAGTTGTCGCAAGTAGATCTCGACGCTGTTAAACCAGTAAGCCCGATGTCAGATGCAGCAGACAAAACCGCTGATTCAACTGCTGGTCCAGACCCGATCAAGGCTCGGACAATTGCGTAGTCGTGAAGAGAAGAATTTTGCACCAACACTAAATTACTTGTCAAACCAGGTATGGCTTGAACAAGCTCGAAGAGCTGTGTGGATGTGATGCTCGATGAAAAGTTGACCAGTACAGCAACCCCTACATTGCATAGAAGCATGAGCGATACACAGCGCATACGCAAGAGAAACACGCAACCAATCATGACATACTCTCACGGTCATCTTCTGACAGTTGGGGGCCCGCGCAGGTATAGGTCAAAGCTGCAGAAGAAGCTGTGATGCCGTATCGTAACACAAGTGAGAACCGCCAAAAATGGAGAAGGACAAAAGGAAGGTAAAAAAAAGGTAGAAAAACCTGCATGAACATACTTGTTGGGCTGAGCGTTGTTGTAACAAGGGGCGCTGTTGTCGAGACGAAGTCGCCGGAGCCTGATGTATCTCCCGAGCCCGTTTCAGTCGTGGTTGATGTCGTTGCAGGTGAAGTGGATGTGGTAGAAAAGGTGGGTGTACTTGAGGATGTTTCGCCGGAGCCACTTGAGGTGTCGGGATCAGTCGTGACGGGCAGAGTTGAAGTGAAAGTCTCAGTAATAGTGCTGCTGCTTCCGCTAGATTCAGCAGTGGTGGCAGTGGACGAGGTGGTGATAATAGTAGTCGAACCAGAGCCACTCATGTCCACTGTAGTAGATGGACTTGAGCTGGAGGCCGTGGTAGTCATAATGCCACTGCTATCATCTGAAGTTGAAGAAACCGTAGTGGTCCCAGCATCCGGGGTTGACGAGGACATCGTGGCAGTAGTGCCACTGCCAGCACCAGAGCCAGAGAATGTGGAAGTCGACAGAGTCGTGGTAGAGCCTGACGGCTCGGTGGTGGTCATGGTGGCTGAGCCCGTGGTCGATGTGGGGGGCGCGGTGGTGGTGCTTCCATCCCCGCTGCCGTCGGGAGCAGTGGTGGTGGTGGTGCTCTCAGTCGTGGTTACGGGAGCGGCGGTTGTCGTAGCGGTGGTGGTGGTGGTGGTGGTGGTGGTGGTGAGATCAGCCGTTGAGGTGGTAGGAATGGTGGTCGTTGTCGTGGGAGGGAAGGCTATCGTGGAGGGAAGGTGAGCACGCGCAACAGGAGAAAAGAAAGGTAAGAGAAGCAGAGCAAGCAGAGCAAGCAGAGCAAGCAGAGCAAGCAGAGCAAGCAGAGCAAGCGAATCCCAAATCACATACCAAGCGCCATAATCTCAGCTTCAGAAAGCTCGCGGTGCTCCAGCAGGACATTGTCGAGACGGCCGTTAAAGTAGAGAGCGCTCGAAGTGCCAACGCTGCGACGACCAATGTCAATGGCATCGAGCAAGACGAGACCAGCCAGGTCCAAGTCTGTGGCAGAGGCCACTGGGGCACCATCCACGTAGATGTTGGCCTGACCATCGACGCTGAGTGTGTAGGCAACATGATGCCACTGACCATCATTGACGGGGGCCACCACGCCAGGCCCACCCACAATCTGCTGTGAGAAGCCATCGTAAACAAAGACTTGAGGGCAGCCCTGGACCAGGCGGAACTCATAGCTCATGACACCACCAACAGCCGAGTGACCATATGACAGAAGCGACATGGCCTGAAGCGTGGCGTCTGACTTGAGCCAGAGTGCTCGTGTCTCGCCCGAGCTAGAGAGACCGACGCAGGGCAGGGTGACATGGGATGTGGTGCCTGCGTCCAGGGCAAGGGCACTAGGTACCAATGCGCGCATCCGGGGTGAAAGCGGCACCACCACGGAGGAGGCCGTTTCGCTGGTAAGTTGAAGAGTCAAAGGCTGTGGTGCCTGTGCCTGCCTCAAACAGCCACATGCCTTGTAGGGAGGCTGCAGGCGTTGTGGTTGTACTTTGAGTAGTAGTAGTAGTAGCAGCAGCAGTAGTAGTAGTAGTAGTAGTAGTAGTAGTAGTAGTAGTAGTAGTAGTAGTAGTAGTAGTAGTAGTAGGTGTGTTGGTGGTGGTAGTCTGGGTGGTGGTGGCGGTTGATGTTGAAGGGGGCGATGAAAGAGTTGGGCCAGTGGTGGTCATGGTGGCTGAGCCCGTGGTCGATGTGGGGGGCGCGGTGGTGGTGCTTCCATCCCCGCTGCCGTCGGGAGCAGTGGTGGTGGTGGTGCTCTCAGTCGTGGTTACGGGAGCGGCGGTTGTCGTAGCGGTGGTGGTGGTGGTGGTGGTGGTGGTGGTGAGATCAGCCGTTGAGGTGGTAGGAATGGTGGTCGTTGTCGTGCG